TACAAGCCAGGCACAGTGGCACACATCTGTGAACCCAGCATTCAGGAAGGCAGAGGAACTTGGATCTGTGATTTCTAGGCCAGCCTGGTCTACAAATCAAGTCCTGGATAGCTAAGGCTACAGGGAGAAACCATGTCTCAAAAAAATAAACAAACAACAACAACAAAAAAAAACAGATGTTGAGGAGACATCTTTAGTTAGTTTTTAATCCGAATTAACTGTTAGAGGGTGGTGAAATGAGAGGACTCAGGATACAGACATCATTTACAGCAGAGATCCAGACTTCCTTTGCTGGATATTATGAGGTGATTTGTGGGAAATGCATGCTGCCATGAAAACAGATTTAAAAGGAAATCTGATTTTCAAAAATTAATCATTATGATAACTTCAGAGAGTGACCCAACTAACTAGAATTTGAGCAGGCAGAACATTCAAAGGAAGGGAACCAGGGTGGTGAGGCAACATTTTTTATCTGATTTCTGTGTGCAGGCATCTGACTGTTAATACAAAGGCAGCTGAAATCCCATTCTAAGGAGACTCTCGGCTTCTGAGAAACCAGAGAAGAGAGCAAAATAATTATTAAGAGTGAAGCATGGAGGGCAAGACCCTGAGAGACAGAAATCAGAGAGAGAAGATGGGAGGGCGAAACCTGGACTTCCCTTGAAGGTTTCTGTCCCATTTAATACTGCATTGCCCAAGGGAATAGGACTGTGAGCAAAAAGCCTCTACTATGGCCAGCTCTCAGGGCCAAAGAGAAAAATACTGGCTTCAACACCTAATTAAAAGGAGGAACCCTTTTATAACCACACTTTTATTCATTATTGTAGCTTATGGCTGTTTTGCCTGCATGCCTCTCTGTGTACCGTAAGTGTGCCTAGTGCCAGAGAAGGCCAGAGAGGGCACTGGATCCCTTGGAACTGGAGTTACATGTGGTAATGAGCTGCCATGTGGATGATGGGGATTGAACCTGGGACCTCTGAAAGAGCAGCAAGTGCTCTTAACCACTGTGCCATCTCTCAAGCACCATAAATACACTCTTTTATTTTAATGGGGTGAGGCAGCTCAGGCTCACATAATGACCTGACATCAAGGTGACCCCGAGGCTGTAAGAGGTGCACAGCTGGGGTTGGAGGGATTGCTCAGCAGTTATCGGCACTTGCTGGTTTTCTAGGGAGTTCATTTCCCAGCCCCCACCAGGCAGCTCACAGGCTCATGTGACTCCAGCTCCCAAGAGGCTGATGCTTTCTTCTACACTCCCCAAACTCCTGCACTTATGCACACACACACTCATCACATTTAAGGGGCTGGAGAGATGGCTTCAGAGCACTTACTGCTCTTGCACAGGACCCAGGTTTGGTTCCCAGAACCTGTATGACAACTCCCAACTGTAACTGCATTTCCAGGGAATCCCACACCTCATACTCATGCACACACTCAGGCATTGCTCAGACACATAAATAAAGACATATTAAAAATAAAATAAAATTTAGAAAAGAAGCCCAACGTTGAAGCTTGACCTTAAGATCAGAGACAAAAATCTTCATTACTGACCAGGTTACTAATTAGAACATCCCAGCAGACCCTGCAGTGGATCGGCTTGTACACCATCACCCAATCTCCTATCAAAAAGCTCAGGGAAGAGTGATCAAGAACATACAGTGCTAGACTTGTTAGATGTCTGCACAGAAAAATGAATTCATAAAGACTCACAGTGTGTGTGTTTTTTTTAAAGGGGAAAGAGGGTTGGAGAGATGGTGTAGTTAAAAGCACTTACTGCTCTTGCCAAGGACCAGAGTTCCATTCCCAGAATCCACTTTGGGCAGCTCACAGTCTCCTGTAACTCCAGGGATCTAACACCCTCCTCTGGCCTCTGTGGGCACCACACACATGTAAACAAAAATCTTTTTAAACTTTTTGTTTGAAAGAGGGTCTTGATGTAGCCCAGGCTGGCCTGGAATTCTTCATCCTCCTGCCTCAGCTGTCCATGTGTTGGGATTATACGTATGCACCAACATGCCTTATTAGTTTTCCTTTCTTTATTTCTTCTTTATTTTTCCCCCGAGACAGGGTTTCTCTGTGTAGCCTTGGCTGTCCTGGAACTCACTCTATAGACCAGGCTGGCCTTGAACTCTGAGATCTACCTGCCTCTGCCTTCTGAGTGCTGGGATTGAAAGGTGGGTGCAACCCCCACCTGGCTGCCTGCCTCTTTGTCACCACATAGATACTTAGGTTTAATGGAATCACTGTGGAAAAGATTACCATTTGCCTTATAGAGTTGACGTTGGCACACACATTGAACCCAGGACCACTAGTCCAGGGATGGCACCACCCACAATGGTCTGGACCTGCCCACATCAATCATTAATTAAGAAAGTGCCCTACAGGCTTGCCTACAGCCTGATCTTTTGGAGGCATTTTCTCAATTGAGGTTCCCTCCTCTCAGATAGTTCTGATGGTCAAGTTGACATAAAACAAGCCAGAGAGTGTCTAATGTGGTTGCCAAAGGTTTCCCACTGGCTGCAGTCATTGCCTGAGCCTTCTGTATTCTGTTGAATGCCTGGGCTACAGGATCTGCGGTTCTCAAGCATCCTCCTTCCATATCTCTGTAAGGGTCTCTTGATTTGCTCTCCTTATGGAACCTCAGAGAGGCCAAACTTCTTTTTTTTTTTTTTTGTTTGTTATTAATACAAGTTCTGCCTGTGAACGAGAAGAGGGACCATGTTGTGAGCCACCATGTGGTTGCTGGGAATTGAACTCAGGACCGTTGGAAGAACATAGTGTTCTTCAGCTCTGAGCCATCTCTCTAGCCCCCAAGGCCAAACTTCCTTTTTTTTTTTTTTTTTCTTTTTCAAAGATCTATTTATTTATTTTTATACAGTATTCTGTTTGCATGTACACCTGCATACCAGAAGAGGGCACCAGATCTCATCACAGGTGGTTGTGAGCCACCATGTGGTTGCTGGGAATTGAAGTCAGGACCTCTGAAAGAGCAGCTGGTGCTCTTAACCTCTGAGCCATCTCTCCAGCCCCCAAGGCCAAGCTTCTTATGTGGAAGTTGAAGATTGAGATGGCAAGTTTCCTAAAACATCTTGGCAACGCACTGAAGCATCTTATCAACAGCTGCAGACATCTCGCCCTCCTATTCCTGCTGCAGCCAGCAAGGTCCCAACTGTCTGCAGCACGAGCTGGTTAAGAACCTGGGTGCACTCTTGCTCAAGATCCTCGTTAACATTGTTTAAGTGGTATTCGCAGGATCCCCAACCAAGTGGACACGCGAAAGTGTCTTTACTCAAGAACTGCAGTGGATTGAAGGTGGCCCCTTCTAAAAGACACATCCGTGTTCCAGTGCCTGGAACTTGTATTACTTAAATGAGGGAAGTGTGAATGTCACTTAATATGATAAAATACGGAACTAGGTGGGAATGAGTCAGCAACTAAGAGCACATGCCACTCTTACAGAAGACTCAGGTTCTGTTCCCAGCACCCACCTGGGCAGCTCACAAGTGCCTGCAACCCTAGCACCAGGAGATTTGACACCTCTGACCTCTGTGGGTATCTGCACTCAAGTTCATATACACTCACACAGTCTTACACACAATAGAAAAAAGATGTGATTGTGTTGCCGATCTCAGAGGAGTTCTGAGTACAACGGCAGGTGTCCTAATAAGAAAGCCATCCCAGCCGGGTGCTGGTGGTGCACTCCTCAAATCCCAGCACTTGGGAGGCAGAAGCAGGCAGATTCCTGTCAATTGGAGGCCATCCTGGTCCACATAGTGAGACTAGGTCAGCCAGAGCTGTGATGTGGAGAGACCCTCTCTAGTTCAATAACCATCTTCAACTCACACTGTGAGCTGTCACTTGATGGCCACCTTGACAGGCGACTCTTTTTGAACTACTGGTTTCAATATAACCAGAAGAAATATCTGTGTAGGGGGCTGGAGAGACGGCTCAGTGGTGAATAATACTGGTTACTTTTCCAGAGGACCTGATTCGATTTTCAGTACCTACATGGTGGCTCACGGCTGTCTGAAATCTCAGTACCAGAGGATGTAACACTGTCTTTGGGCTTCTGCAGGCAGGAGGATTTAGTGTTTGAGGCCAGGTTAAACTACACAGTGAATTCTAGGCCAGCCTTGTTCACAAGAGGATGTCTTGTCTCGATAACACATACACACACACAACCCTTAAACAATTATACCTTGTAAAAAAAATCAAATTGGACCTGGGGTAGGAATGCATTGATAACAGTTTGCATTTGAATATCTAAATCAGTTCCTCAGAGAAAAGCCAGGGCCATCCTCTGTCTCAGCGAACATGCAAACGGAAAATTCAAAGGCAAGCATGGTGGCACCCACCTTCCATCCCAGCACTTGGGAAGCAGAGGCAGACAGATCTCTGAGCTTGACACCTGGTCTATCAAGTTCCAGGCTAGTCAGTCAGGGCTGGATAGTGAGTTGCCCTTCCTCAGTCGCCCCTTTCTCCTAGAAAGCTAAATACACAAGTGCAAAACATCAGAGGCTGTGTTGCCACTAAGTGGACCCTGCTGATCTAATTCAGTGCTCAAGATTGACATAAGCATGGAGGGCTGATCCCTGCTCCGGTAATTTAGAGTAACCTAATGGGCTTCACATAGACAACTGCAGCGGATGAGAAGGAGTGTGTTATTCGGTATTTTCTAGAAAGTCCTGACAAGTACCTCAGTAATCGGGGCTGCCTCGGGTCACATCCTTTTGGCCCACAAAGCCAGGAAGGTATTGGGCTCATTTATAGAATGAACAACACTGCGGAGGGCATTTGGGTATGAACGCTCTCAGCTGAGCATATCTGGCTCCAGTGGGTGGGGGGTGGGGGTCAGGCTGAGAGTATACACATCTGCAGCTTGCTCCAATCAAAGCGTGATGAGCTGGGCCAAATGCTGCTGATGATACCAGCTTTGGCTGAGCCTTTAAAACCAGAGCAAGCTGGGGAGGAGAAAGGAGAGTGAATGTGGACTGAGGCCCCATAGGATGGAGTTCTCTTTGCCTAGTTTGCCAATGCTAAAAATCTGCTCCTACCTGGATGCCTATAGCTTGCTACAGGTCGGCCAAGTGAACAAGGTAAAGACTCTCCACCTCTTGCTGCTGTCCAATCGACCAGCTTCTTGCCTAAACCCCTCCACTGTGTTCATTCCTACGCGAGGCCCCTTTGGCCTTTCCGCCTCAGTCTCGGAGTTTTGGCTGCCCCATCATCACACTTCCATCACTTACACAGCCTTCCTTCACTCCTCAAACTTGTTCAGGCCTGTCTATTCAGCTCTGACACCTTAGCATCTGGGGTCTGGGGAGAACTCAGTTGCTTCTCTTGACCCATGGGAATGCGAACCTACAGAACAGCGAAGTGGCACATCAAAGGGCTTTATGGGCTAGCATTACTCACGCTGAACCCCTCAAGTCCTGTTGAATGAATGGTGGTGCACACCTGTACCTGAAGCACTTGGGAGGTGGAAGCCAACTCAGGAGTTTGGGTCCAACTCAACCATGTGAATTTAAAAGCAGCCCAGGCTCCTAGAGAGCCTATCTCAGAACACTAACAAGAGTGACAACAAAAATCTGTTAAATGACGGGCATAAGCTGCTCTGTGGAGTTGTGCTGCTGCTGTGTGGGTCCTCGAGACTCCACAAACCTTTGGAGACCAGCCATCCTTCCGAGCTCTCACAAGACGACTTGTGTTTGCTCGGGTAGGTGTCTCCAGCCTAGCTGGGCCTGGAGAGCTGGGACTGTTTGACTAACCTGTATGTGTGTGTGTGGGGGAAGCACAGAGCAAGGGAGAGCAGAGGGGAGGCTTGCTGGCTTAAGGATATTTCTCTCTCCTGTAGAGCTGGAATGCAGTTTCCAACAGTGATTTCCTGTGGAGGTAAGGAAAGGGGCAGGGTGGGGTGGGAAGGGAAGAAGAGGCCCTCTGCTTCAGCACCTGGGCCTCGGGTGTGTGAGGAAGGTGAATGAATAAAAGGCTCCCACCGGTAACAGGGGCTCTAAGGTGAGCTGCCTGGGCTCAGCCCGATGGGATTGCAACTGTGCATTGCAGGAGGCTGTGTCTGATGAGATGGTACTGCTTTGACATCACCCTAGAGCACGTGGGCACACAGACATGGAAGCAGTTCTTTCTTTACCGAAGTAGGCAAGAACGCGCCAAGTCCCTGGCAAAACCAGCAGACTTCTTCGTCAGAGAAATTCCTGGAAACTTTGGTATGGGCATGGGTACCCTAGAAGAGATGCCCATTTGGTTTTTCCCATGACATGCAGTCAGCCAGGTGCATGGCCAGTGCCTTTAGTCCCAGCATGAAGGGAGGCAGAGGTGAATCTCTGGGAGTTTGAGGCCAGCCCCTTCTACCAAATGAGTCCAGAACAGCCTGAATACACATAGAAACCCTTTCTCAAAGGAAAATAAAAAAGTAAAAAAACAAAAATACCCATTTGGGTTCGGGCTTTGTCTAGCCATGGAAGCCATCTGTATTCTCCTTTTGTGATGTGCCCTATGGAAGCATGATTGTTCAACAATGGAAAGCCAGCCCTATCACTGCCTTTCCCCAAAGGCTTCCTGCCTTCCCAGAATATAGAGGGAACGTAATGGGCACATTACTAAATTGCACAGGCTTTACTGTTTCTTTTCCTAAAAAACCTCCATGGGACAGTTTTCTGATGGAGAGGTACTTTCTAAATTGTTTACATTTACCATTACTTTTAGTGTATGTGTGTATGTGATGTATGTGTCAGAGGACAGCTTTGTGGAATTCATTCTCCTGACAGAGTCTTACATATTTTGAGACAAGGCCTCACTATATAGCAGTAGCTGCCCTGGAACTCCGTATGTAGACCAGGCTGGCATCAAATTCAAGATCTGCCGCTTGCCTTCACTGGGACTGGTACATCACCACATCTGGCGTTTTCTTTTCTCTCTTCCTTCCTTCCTTCCTTCCTTCCTTCCTTCCTTTCTTTCTTTCTTTCTTTCTTTCTTTCTTTCTTTCCTTCCTTCTTCCTTCCTTCCTTTTCTTTCTTTCTTTCTTTCTTTCTTTCTTTCTTTCTTCTTTCTCTCTTTTTTCTGTCTTTCATTTCTTTTCTTCCTTTTTTGTCTTTCTTTCCTTCTTCCTTTCTTTCTTCATTCTTTCATTTGTTTTCTTTTTGTTTTTCAAGACAGGGTTTCTCTGTGCAGACCTGGCTGTCCTGGACTCACTTTGTAGACCAGGCTGTATTTGAACTCACAGATCTGCTGGCCTCTGCTCCCTAGAGTCCTGGGATTACAGGCATGTGCCACCACGCCCGGCTATTCTTATTTATTTACTACTTTAAACTTATTTATTACTTTAAACCCCGGGTCTCGTGTGCCTACCACAGGCTGACCTCAAATGAGTACTGAACTTAACAGTTTATGGGATTCTGGGACCTAGCAATCTCCCCACCAGTTACAGCCCCAGCCCCCCGGTACCCGGGGTGTTCTACAGAAGCAGGTTAAAGTGTAAAGGACCAAATGGCCAGCCTGCAGCCTGTTTGGCTGACTCTCTTCATCCTTTCCACAGCTGTTGGCCAAGCCTTCCTTCAAAGGTGGAGAAAGGAAAACATAACCCCTTTTGGCTTGGGTTGCCCCTCAACTATCTAATAACCAAACTCTGTTTGGGTTTCCTTGCAGGAGGTCAGGGTTTGGCGAGTTACCTCTCAGGGAGTGGCCTAACACCAAGTGGACAAGGGAAGTCAGTTGTCTGTGTGGTGACTTCCATGTCCAGGCTTACCACCTGGGATATTAAAGAGGTGAGTCTGCCCGGAGAGTAGCAAAAATTACCTGGACATGAATTCTGACTTCATCTTGTTGTTGTCAGTGCTGGTGAGTAGGGATTCCCTGCCTGCCTCTGCCTCCCAAGTGCTTGGGTTTAAGATTATAGGCACCACCACTCTTGGAGCCTGTGGAGGTCACAACAGTGTAGTTGCAGATGGGTTGTAAGCTCTGGGCGCTGGGCACCTAACCCAGGTGTGTGCAGAGCCCTCTCTCCAGTGCTTCTCAGTGTCTTAAAGTTTTCATCACAGAGATCTTCTCACATACTGGGTTAGGTTTACTCCCAGGAATATTTTTTAAGGTTTATTTTTTACTTTACATGTATGTGCGCCTGTGTGCCTGTGTGTGCTCACAGTTGGTGGCAGCTGGCAGAGGCCAGTGACTGAGATGTTGTGTAGGCTCTGGGAACCCATGCAATTTCTATGGAGTCCATATAATTTATAGCATGTATGTAATTTATAGCATTTATTAAATATATATATTTAATATATATATATATCCTTTAATTAAAGCCAGATTGATCCCGGTGGGTGATCTTAACATTTTAATTTTTTTTTTTTTTTTAAAGACAGGGCTTCTCTGTGTAGCGCTGTCTGTCCTGGAACTTGCTCTATAAACCAGGCTGGCCTCCAATTCAAGAGATCGACCTGCCTCTTCCTCCCTGGTGTTAAAATTACAGGCGTGTGCCGCCACCACCAGCTCGGTATGTTCTTTTTAGAAGACTTATCTTTATTATTTAGAATTACTTATGTGGGGGTAGGGGAGTGTGTGCTCATGAGTGCAGGTGCCTGTAGAGGCCAGAAAGGGCCTCAGGTGCCCTGGAGCTGGAGTTAAAGCGATTGTGAACACGGTAGGTCTGGACGCTGAACTGGAGTCTTTTGTAAGAATAATTGTTATGTTGTGCAGGCAATTCAACTGGCCTTCCCTTAGGGACCTGTAGGGTCCTGCAACATCCTATGTCAGTGCCTGCATCCTATGACATCATCTGGGCCAGGGACATAGTGACTGGTCCACCACTCCCTGACCTTCTTACTCTCTTCTTCTGCTCTCTCCCCCTCTTCTGCTTTCTTCTTTCTTTGAGGGCCCCCCTTCCCTCATCCTTGCTCTCTCTGTCTTCCTCTCTTCTGTCTCTTTCTCTATCTCCATCCAATAAACCTCTTTCATATGGTATCTGATGTGTGCATGGCATTTTTATACAAATACTAACAATCGTATACTCTCATAGTCACTGAGCCATCTTTCCAGCCCCCTGATATGTGCTTAAATTCAGTTTGCAAGTATTTTGTTGAGAATTTCTTTAAGTTCATCAGGAAGACTGGCTATAACTACTTCTTCTTTTTTTAATATCTACATTTGGTTTTTGGCATCAGGGCAATAACAGCTTCATAGAAAGAGTAAGGTAATGCCCCTTCTTTTCCTATAGTGTGGAGTAGTTTGAGAAGCATTGGGATTAGTGTTTATTTGAACGTTTGTTACATTCACCAAGGAAGCCTGGGGGTGGGTTGCATGCTTTATATCCTAGCACTGGGAAGAGGAGAGGCAGAACTCTCAGAGTTTGAGGCCAGCCTTGTCTACAGAGTGAGTTTCAGGACAGCTAGTTTACACAGAGAAACCCTGTCTTAAAAAGACCAAAAGCAGAAAAAAAAACCTTTCTTTTTTCTTCACTAGGGAGTTATCTGGTCCTGGATATTTTTTGTGAATTTTTTGTTCAGTTTTTCTGTTTGCATGTATATGTGTGTAGAATGCATACATTTGTACAAGCCTGTCTGTTCATGTCAGTTTAATTTGGGTAGGTCATTTACTTCTAGAAATGATCCTTTTTTATTATCCAACTTATTGGAAAACATTTTTAAGGTGTACTCTAAAGAGTTTCTGAATATTGCTGATATCTGCCATAATGGATTCCTACTGTAACTTGATCAATTTATTTAATTTACTTGGTTCCTTCTTAATTTTTATTTTTGTTTGATTTATTTCTTTGCACTTTTTTTTTTTCAAGACAGGGTTTCTTTGTGTAGCCTTGGCTGTCCTAGAGCAGGCTGGCCTCAAACTCTCCTTGAGTGCTGGGATTACAGGCATGTGCCACCATGCCTGGCTTCATTTCACTAATTTCTAAGCCATCTCTTTATTATACATGTATTTGTGTATGTGTGTGTGCATGTGCATGCACTCATGTACTTGGAATACCACAGCGTGTGTGGAGGTCAGAGGGCAACATGTAGGAGTCAGTTTCCTCTTCCTACCACGTGGGTGCCAAAGGTCAAGGGTCAGACTTGGGTCAATTGAATTTAGATTATCATTTTTAGTGGCAAGTGCCTTAACCTACTGAGCTACTCACTGACCCTGTTTGTCCAGATCTTAGTGATTTATTTATGTCTACTGACTCTGTGGTTGGCGTGTTTTATTTTCCAGGTATATATTGTTGTTTTTTTGAGGTTTCTCTGAAAAATTTTTTGAGACAGGATCTTACGTAGCCCTGGTTGGCCTAAACTCACAGAGATCCACCTGCCCCTGCCTCTACCTCATGATTTCTGAGTTCTCTGGTGCTCTCTGATTTTTTTATTTTTAATTTTTATTGGTTCTTTGTGAGTTTCCCTTCATGCACCCCAGTCCTGCTTATCTCCCTGTCCCCTCATATTCACCCTTCACCCTCAAAACTTCCCCCAAAAATACACACACACACACACACACACACACACACACACACACAAAGCATAAAAACCTCTCATCGTGGAAGCTGTAGTACGTCTCAGTGTGTCCCACAGTGCATCCTTCTGTCCACACATCGTCACTTACAAATGCTCATTGTAATGAATCGGAGGTCTGGTTTAAGGTCTCTGGTTTCTATGACACCATCAGTACTGGATCCTCAGTGGGCCTCCTCCTGGTTGTCCTGTTGATGCCCTTGTCCTGGAGAATCTGCAGCTTTGGAACAGCAGGGCTGGCCCTTCCACGAGTACCAACCACGAGTACCAACCATTTGCAGATACAAATGTTGGAGTGGGCCAACGCAGAGCCCTGGATCTAGGCCTGGGGGTAGCTGAGCTGGTCACCTCACTGGCCCTCCCTTATCTGTACCATCAGCACTGCTCAGGCTAGGCCACCCAAAGCTGCCAGCTCTCCTGCTCTCACCCCATGAGCACCTCCAGAGCTAGCCCCACTGTGCTGCCCAGTCAAGGTGAGAGGTCTGTCTGGAGTGCCAGAGCAGTGAAGGGCAGGACCAGCTTTCCTGACAAGGTTTGGGGAGGGCATCAGCCCACACCCATGCCACCTCGAGGCAGAGGAGTGGGAAGGCCAGTTCTCTAACTTGTGAGAGAGCCTCCTGCTGTGTCTGTGTCAGTGCAGCAGAATGTCTGTGATGTCCAAAGCGTGGGGTACGTAGGCTTTCTGTGGGTGCCCAGGAATGGGGCATTGTCTCCTACAGCAAAGTGAAAATTTACCATAATAAACTGGATGATCTTGGGGTTGGAGATTTCTTGGTTGTGTTTTGTTCGGGGAGGCTGTTTAAGAAAGAGTGTCAGGTGGGCTGGAGAGATGGCTCAGAGGTTAAGAGCACTGGCTGCTCTTCCAGAGGTCCTGAGTTAAACTCCCAGCAACCCCGTGGTGGCTCAGAACCATCTATCATGTGATATGGTGTTTTCTTCTGGTGTGAAGAAAGAGTATCAGGCTGTTCTAGAACTCACTATGCAACCCAGGCTACCGCAGACTCATAGGAACCCTCCTACTTCTGCCTCCTAAGTGGTAGGTAGGATAGAGTGGTGCCTTACTATACCTGGCAAAGAGAGCTGAGAGTGAAACCTGACCTCCTCCTCGTGGGACTTAGTCCAGTGCTACACGGTAATAAACACCTCAAAATACTGAGAGTCACATTTTAGTGAAAGAGGTGGGCTCAAAAGGAAGATGGATTCTAAAGGAAGATTACATCTAGGGGAAGGAGAGGTTATTAATGTGTCTGTGTAAATTGCTTATAATAATTTATTAAGTTCACATTCATATTTATGCTTTTGGCTTTTTGTTGGTGGTGGAGGTGGTTTTGTGTGTGTGTGTGTGTGTGTGTGTGTGTGTGTGTGTGTGTGCATGTGTGTGTGAGATGGTTTTTTTAAGCTAAAGAAAATTCTTGAAGAGAACCTGTTCTTGCTTTGGATGTATAAGAACTGTTGATACAATAACAAATTTTGCAACTGACTCATTGATGAATAGGTTTGTTTCAAGTGTTAGAAAACTTAATACCAGAAGTGATGGCCCAGGCCTTTCACCCCAACACTGAGGAGGCAGAGGCTGGCAGATCTCTGTGGGTTTGAAGCCAGCCTGGTTTACACAGTGAGTTCCAGGACAGCTAGGGCTGTAGAGAGACCCTGGGATTGAAGAGGTGTGCCACCACAGCTGGCTTGTTGTCCCTGTTAGTAAAAGGAGAAATTGATTTGAGCACAGGGCCACTGATTGTCCTTCACAGATGTTTTGTAAGGGTCGGTTCTCTCCTTCCACCATGTGGTTCCTGGGGATTGAATTCATGTCATCAGGTTTGGTGGCAAGTACCCTCTCTGAGCCATCTCTTGAGCCCTGTTCTTTATGCTCTGTGTAGCAAATGCCTACTTGCCTCTGAGCAAATGCATATGTCCTATTTTCATGTCTACCTCTTCCGCAAATAATCTAGATCTTTGTTTTTCTCTTTTTGTGTATGTGTGTTTTTCTTCTTTTGAGACAGTTTTGCCATGCAGCCCCAGCTGGCCTGCAGCTCGACATTGTAGTCCAGACTGGCCCCAGAATTGCACCAACTTTCCCACTTCTGCCTACCTGGGCAGGGATTATAGGTGTATGCTATCATGACCAGTGAGAGATGCTTAAAGTTTTCATATGCTTTTCTTGTGAGAAATGGTTCCGGTCTGGAAGAGGCTTCCAATTAAAGTGGGTGTGTGAAAGTGGTGGAACTCGAGGCCCTCAGACATAACCACCCTCTTGTTCCCTAGGGCGTCATGACCTGGGTCAGCCCCGTGCAGCCCACCTGCATCACCAGGATGACCACCCTCCCTGAGATGCACCTGGCGGTCACTGTAGATATGGAAACAACCATCAAACTGTGGAACTGCCGTGACAGGGATGCTCAGGCGACTAACACCATGTTTACTTCCTGTCAAACCCTGAAAGCTGTCCTTACAAAGTACGGCCCGGTTGTCTTGGTAAGTGACCCCCAAATCGAGAGCAGGCACACAGAACAAAACAGGCGCCAACTTGAGGTCCCAGTACTGTCAAACCTCAGTTCTCTATCTTGGAGTCATCTCTGCAAACCCTGAGACTCAGTTACAGTCTACCAATAATGATGGCCATAAAATGTCCATTCCTTGGCCTTTGACCTACCTCATTTACACTTCCTAAGCCATTCTTTTAAAAATAACAAAGGCTTGGTGGTGGCAGACACCTTTAATCCCAGCCCACTGCTCCGGAGGCAGAGGCAGGTGGATGTCTGTGTTTGATGCCAACTGGTATACAGAGTGAATCCAGGACAGCCAGAGCCAAAACAGAGCAACCCTGTCTCAAAAAAAAAAAAAAAAAAGAAGAAGAAAAGGAATAGGCTGGAGAGAAGGCTCAGTGGCTAACAGCACTTCCAGAGGTGCTGAGTTCATTTCCTAGCAACCACATGGTGGCTCACAACCATCTATAATGGTGTTTGATGTCCTTACTGTCATGCAGGTGTACATGCAGATAGAGCATTCAGAGAGAGAGAGAGAGAGAGAGAGAGAGAGAGAGAGATGTAGCATGAGAGAGACAAGCGATTGCGAGACGGAGCGACAGTGACGGACAGAGAGTGAGACTAAACAGAGTGGTATAGCAGGGACACCTGACATCCTTCTCTGGTCTCCATGTATGCGCACCCCTCACAGTTTTTTCTAAATTTCACATCTTCTCTTCTTTCAAATGTTTATTATTGCTGAGTTCATGAATTTGGGCAGAAACGGTAGAGAGAAAAACGGAATTTTATCAGATGCTGAGAAACATTGATGTTGATGTCTCAGTCCTTAGGAAGGAGGACTTAGGGCTTAGAAAATGCCCTTCTCCTTGTGATTTTTAGACAAGTCTCACGATGTGGTCCTGGCTGGCCTAGAACTTACTATGTAGATCAGGCTGGCCTAACTCAGAGATCAGCTTGCTCCTACCTAAGTGTTGAGATTAATGACAAATGCTACCATGCCTTGCAAAAGTCTCTTTAAAAAAATTCCTGCAGGGCATAGTGGCATATACCTTCAATTCCAGCACTCAGGAGGCAGAGGCAGGTGGATCTGTTAAGGTTGAGGCCAGCCTGGTCTACAGAATGAGTTACAGGAGAGCCAGAGAAACCCTGTCCCAAAAAACCATAAGAGGGAAAGATGATTTTGTGTGTGGGTATTTTGCCTGCATGTGTCTATGTGCTGTGTGCGTGCTTAGAGCCGTGGAGGCTGGAAGCTGCTATTAGAGCCCCTGGGACTGGAGTTACAGACAGTTGTGACCTTCTACATGGGTGCTGGGAGTTGAGCCAACATCCTCTTTCCCTCTCTGCCTGGACTCTTACCACTGAGCTGTCACTCCAGGCCTAGAAAGTGTTATTCTGTGGAGCCAACCAGGCCCCTCTGTTAGGCAGCCTGGTCAGAGCTTTGCTCTGTTGCTGGATGGAGGAAGTGATTGTGCCTCTCAGAGCTGACAATCCTGCTTCCTCCACGCCTGAGGCCTTCCTACTGACCTGTTGCCGGTGCTCTGATTTCAGGCAAGCGACACTTCCGGTAACCTCTATGTGTTTAGGATTCCCGACTTATGCCTAATTATCAGAATCCATATATTCCAATACCCTATTGATGAAGTCTACTGCTCTCCTCAGAAGAAATGGGTTTTTTTGAATAAGAGACATCCAAAAATCTTGCCAAAGGTAAGGTTCTTTCTAGCAACTCCAGCGTTGGGGTGAGGAATGTGGGAAGGGCCAGCCCTCAAGGAGGCCCAAGCAGATGGCCCCTCTCTTCTAGGCTCTATCACATGCAAAAGTGATTCCTCCAGTCAGGTATAACAGAGTTCTAGGTAGCAGTCACAGGCCCTGTCACAGTAGCAAATTTCTGTTAGTGGAAAGTGTCCTGGAGACTTGGTTCAACCGCAGGGTGAAGGCAGGTGAAGTAAGGGTCCCTGGAAACCTTTGCTGGCCCTGAGCTCACAGCAATCTTGCTGTCACTGTGTGACACTGTAGGATTCCGTCCCTAGCGCTAGGTTTCAGGCATGTACCCAGCGCTCTCTATGCTCCTCCTTTGTTAATTCCTGCTCTCTGGTGCCTAGTTGGTAGTGCTGGAAGGCAGATGGTCCGCACAGAGACCAGCGTTCTTCTCTAGGGCCCATGCTTAGTTATTTGGTTTGTATGTCCCTGTACTTTCAGAGCCAGTATGGGTTACAGTAAGAGGCTCAATGCCTCCTCCTTAAAAATCTTAAAAAGCAAACAGCTCTGGACTAGTCCTCTGCAAGGGAAAATCTACTTAAGCAGTCTGTCTGATGAACCCACCCTTGATGTGGGTCAGGGACTCCATTCTGTCTCTGAACATGATAGGAGGGGCAGGAAGTCAATGAATTACTCATTCCCTGAGTGAAAGTGATGGCTACCCAGCCCTGTGTAATGAAGAACAAAAACATCCACACCTGGTTTCCCCCTGAAGCCTGTGTCTGGAGCCACACGGGTGCCAGACGGCTATAGTGTTAATCTCCGTTGATTCTGCTGTGCCATGCTCTTTTTGCAGGTGTTTCTCTTGAGAAGCTTGCTGAGGCCATTAGAATACTCCAATCCGGTGTTTATCGACCTCCCATTTTCATTATGCCAAAGAGCCTTCTGGACCCCAAGAAGGGAAGACAGAATAACCCTGATGTCCCGGAGAGGCCCCGTCCAAAACGCAATATTTTCCACGTTTGATATGGAACTGATAGAGACTGAGAAGAGGACATCTGCTAATGGTAAATGTCACCACCTTAGAAATGTCTCAAGCCATACGTGATGGCACATGTCCCAAGTCAGGAGACTGAGGCAGGAAGGCTTCATAGTGGGAGCTGTCTCGAAAAGAAGAGATGGTGCTGGCAAGATGGCTTCCATGTGCATGCACGCACACACGCACGCATAGCCATGCACTAATGATGTTAAAGTAAAAAATAATCTTCCTGCCTCTGCCTCCCTGAGTGCTGGGATTGTAGCTTGCACCACCACTGCCTGTCATACAAACAATTTTTAAAAGAAATCCTGATTTCTCTTTCACCCAGGCTCTCATATTAAGCCATAAAAACATGTCTTTGTTTTGTTCTTTTAGTCTTTCAAGACAGGGTTTCTCTGTGTAGCCCTGGCTGACCTGGAACTTTCTCTGTAGACCAGGCTGGCCTCAAACTCCATCAGACTCTGCTAGGATTAAAGGCATGCCTCACTCTATGATAATGCAAGTCCTTGCAAAGGGAGCAGAAGGGCTGCTCAGCTAGATAGGAGCTTGTGCCTGTTTGGTGCTCACTGTGCTCTACCCGGTTGTCTTGGGTAGATACTCTGTTCTGTCTCCATCACATGATGGGGCTGGGTTCTAATGTCCTTCCCAGTGCAGGTGTCTTTCCAAGGCGGGAGCTATGATTGATTGTCCACACCGTCCCTGAGACATAGCCTGCCTTTCCATGGCCAAGGACATGGATTTGTCAGACCTATGGACTGTCTTCATTGCCTCTATCAGCCTAGAGTCCCATGGAGGTAGGGGCATGCTTTTCAGCAAGCATTTTGCTGGGCTTAAGTGACTGAAAAATTACCTGTGTATATTTTGTGTGTTTTGTATGGAGCAGCACGTGAGATTGCAGGCTTCGAGATGCAAGGTTACCTTAATAACATGGAATGGATGGGAGTCAGTGAGAAGGATGTGATTGTATTTTCAACTGGAAAATCTCTTCTCCTCTTCAACATGTGGGGCTTCAGGCTGCAGACATTTCAGGACTATCCACAAGTGATCACGAGATTAAAAGTGGTATGTCTTAGATGTTTCCCCTCCAGTGGGTTTTTAAACACAGATTTACCTTTTTTAACTTAATACTGTTATGGGGTGCGCATGTGCTTTTGTGTCTGTGTGAACACACTCGCAGAGGCCAGAGGACAACCCTCTGGAGTTCTCCTTCCACCTGTTTGGGGGCTCCATGGAGAGAGCACCAGGCTTGCTCAGTAATGCCTCTCTACCTTGTGAGCTGTCCCCTTGTCCCTCTTCCTGTGTTTTGACCTTGACTCCTGTCCACTCACATCTGGGTGTCCTTTGAAGGATCCCCTCCATGTCATCGTCACGTTTAATGATGGTACTTTAGAGGTGTACGCTTGGGAGGAGAGAAATAACCTCCTTAGGAAGTGTTACCGTCTGCAACACCCGCGTCATCTGGGACCACAAAGGTAAGCTCTGCTTTGTGACTTAAACTTTACCCTAATTAAAAAAAAAATCTCTGCATTAAAACTCAATTTTAAAGGAAAATTGAAATTTCTGTAAAAAGATGACTGAATTCATGATCTTCAGCGTCACATAAAGCAGGCACTGTGCTGTGTGTGACACTCAGGAGTGGAGGCAGGAGGATGCAGAAGGGCAGGGTTCTCTTCAGCTGCTCAAGGAGTTTGGGAGACAGACTGGTTGATTGCAGATCTATCACAAACAAAAAGAAAATGAGAACCGGCTAGGCATAACGCATGCCTTTTAATCTCGGCATCTGGGAGGCAGATGCAGATGGAACTCTTGTCAGTTCCAGGCTAGCCTGTTCTACATAGCGTGCCAACAGCTTCACTCCCAGGGTAAAAGCAGAGACTGTGCCCTCATTCCTTGTCTTTCATGGCAGGATGGATTCTCTTTTGAGTTCTGTACCAGCCTGGGTTGCCTCATCAGTGAGTTGTCATTGTCTCCATTTGGTTAATTTTTTCCTTGTGTTTTACTTGCCTTCATACAAATTATTTCCAGTGAGCAAGGTGTGGTGGTGCAGACCCCAGTCCCAGCACCTGAGGGTCTGAAGCTGAGTACAAGAGGCAGCCCTTTAGGGAGACACCCCACCTCATCTCCAAAAGAAAAGGTGGGATTAAAGGTGTGTGTGACATCTCTGCTCAGCCTGGAGTTCATTTTCAACAAGGGTCACCAGCACATGGCAAGTTACCAATATAATTTATATTACATGTATGACTTAAAGGTATTTTCTCCTTCTGGACATGGTTGCACACACCTATAATTCCAGAATACAGGAGACTAAGGCAGAAGCATTATGTCAAATTTGAGGTTGGCCTGTGCCACTTTCAAATTCAGTGCTAACCTGGGCTATAAAGTGAAACCTTATTTCAAAACAATTCTTTCCTGCTCTGTGGGGTTTCTCTTCATTCTCTTGGGTTTTGTTCATTTGTTTGTTTCACTTTGTTTTATTTGATTCATTCCTATTTGTCAATTCTTGCTCTGGTTACCCATACATTTACTCTCCAAGAACTCCTGCCTAGACCTGAGTCATAGATTCTCTTTTTGGTCATTTTCCAATCTCCGGTCTCATCTTGTCTTTTATGTCTTTAATGAGTTGATTGTTGAATTATGGAGTAGGGGTTGGTATAAGAATGTGGTGGCTCAGCTGGGCACAGTGGTGCATTCCTGTAATCCTAGCACTCAAGGAGACACAGGCTGGCAGCTCTCTGAGTTCAAGGCCAGCCTGGTCTATAAAGCTAGTCCAGGACAGCCAAGGTTACACAGAGAAACCCTGTCTCAAAAACAAAGAAAGAATGTGGTGGCTAAACAGCCTTGCTGACATTTATTAGAGAGACTATTCCTTTTCCTTAAAAAGATTAATTAACTATAAATGTGTAGGATTTTTCCCCTAGGTGCTGACGCATGGCAGTGCCGTTCTCCATTCTGCTTTGACCACAGTAACTTTGTGTGATGTATTTTAAAATCCAGTACTGTGATCCCTCCAGGTCTGCTCAAGCAGGCCGTGGCTATTTAAAGTGTGTGCACACGAGTGTGTACCTGCATGCCTGTGAGGTTTTGCTTTGAGACCTCTCGTATACCCCTGGCTGGCCTCAGGCTTGCTATGTAGTCAAGGCTAATCTCAAACTTTGTATCCAAGGCTTGCCTTGAACTCCTGATTTTTCTGCCTTTCATTTCTTTTAACTGTGTCTTTTAACTGGTGTTAGTTTCTTTTCCTTCATGACTTGAAAAGGGCTCTACCATGTCCTTCTGGCTTCTACGATGTGCTGAAAGATCTCTTGTCATTGGAGTCTGTCACTCTATAGATCAGGTGTAATGTCCCTCTGATTTTTTTTTTTTTTGGATCAGTTTTTAGAATTTTGATGATGGTGTATCTCATGTGAATATTTGGAGTTTAGTGTGTTTGGGCTCAATCAGCTTTCGAGTCCGTACATTTACCAATTTGGGGAAAGTATTTTGTCTTTCTTGTGCTGGGGGAGTGAACCGAGGGTCTTGCACATGTAAATGTGAATCTGATAATGAACTTTACTGCAAAACTTCAGAGAGTTTTGCTGTGTTTTCACCCTGCCCAGTGGAGGGAAATAGGGGTGCCATTTTTATCACCTCAGTGCAAAGGAGAGATGGGTGTGGAGGACAGGTTTTGGCTGGAGTCTGTAAGGACAGGAGGCTGTGCACTTGCCCAGGGCAGGCCTGACACTTGTAAGCTCCTGAATGATCAGGTAGAGGTGCCCCTCCTTAGTAAAGAGGAATGATTGACAGGACGGTTGCCCCACCATCTGCATGCCACCCAGGGGGAGGAATGCACTGCTGCTTTAGTGTAGTCCCTTTGAGTAAACTAAGGATGGCATGGGAGCAGAATTCAAGTCTAAGATAGATTTATGGATTAAACTCTCTTTTGTTTGTTTGTTTTGAGAAAAGGTCTCCCTATGTAGCCTGGATGAACCTCACACTCAGTCATTTCTTTGGCCTCAGCCTCCTAAGTTGAAGTGATTTACAGGCATGCGACTTCACCCCTGGCCCCTTTCATGGTTACTAAGCTTTCGAAGACTTGAGCATTGAGAATTGTAGAGGTCTATCAGAAGGTTGAGGTTGGTACTCCTATATGGTAGTCCTATATGAATGATACCTTTGCCAGTGTGTGCAGTTATTCAAAATGCACCTGAGATGGCTCAGCCATTGAGACAGGTGCCACCAAGCCTGACAATGAGGACAGTCTCTGGACCCTCCTTGTGAAAGGAGAGAGCTGATGCCCACATGTTATTCCCTGACCCCCCCCCCGTTGTAGGCCATTTGGTTATACTGTTTACTGTTAAGCCATTGATGACTATTACAGTGGTTATTATTTAATCTGCCACCATATCAGTAAAGGAGACGAGCATTCTGTTAGATTTTTAGTATGCCTATACACTGCAGCTGGGCAGAAACTTCCCTTTTCAGCTACCTTTTACTTCCCAGCCCCACACTCCATGCCAAGTGCTCTAACAATCCCTAGCTGGGCTACTTCCCGTCCAATAGCCCACAGACACTTGGACATATTCCTCCTCTGGGCTGTTTCTCTCCATCACTGGGTCCACAGTAAATCCTCCCAGACATGTGGTTCTTTTTTACCGTAACCCCTGCCTAAAATCTCTCCTCTCCAGGCCTCTCATCTCTCTTCCCGTGATCCTCGTGGCCTCCAAGCCTGAGAACTTTAGCTCTGCCTCCCTCACTTCTGCCCTGCCCAGGAGTGTAGGAAACTTTCTTAGCTCCTCAGGGATCATGTTGGAGGGAAGGTTAGGTGGCATCACTTGGGGTTGTTAGCATGTGCTAAAGCAGCAAGCAGACCTCTGGGAGCGAAATAATTAACATTAGTAAACATAGCAGCAGGCCAACCCCAACCCCCTCATACACATTCACATGCACACATATACACAGCACTCACACATATGTGCGCATACACACCCCTGCACACTCACACTCATGATCACACTCTCTCACTGTATACATACACTCACACGTGTTCAAGCACACAGGTACACACGTGTGGGCAAACATACATGACATAACTTTAAAAGTTGTAAAGGGCCATCATCAGTTGATAAAGGTCACTCCCATTTCTGTGCTGACATCTTGTTTTCTTTGTTGTTCTTTTTGGCAGCATCTTTCCCAAGACACTATGCGATGATCTGAGCATAGTTCGTGTGGTGTCAAGAAGTCGCCAGTGCTGTTTTCTGGCCGCATATATTTTGAATGTCTTCTCCTGAAAACTAATTTAGTGGCTGTTGCCCTCTTCCTCACCTATAATAAAGGTCTATTGCAAGTCCAGACTGATAATCTCAGTGTTGCTAAAAGGAGATGAGGCAGCTGGGCTGAAAATCCAATTCCAGGGGATCCAAGGCCCTCTTCTTTTTCTTTTTTTAAGATTTATTCATTATTTATACATTAGTCTGCCTGCATGTACACCTACATGCCAGAAGAGGGCACAGGATCTCATTATAGATGGCTGTGAGCCACCACGTGATTGCGGGAATTGAACTCAGGACCTCTGGCAGAACAGCCAGTGCTCTTAACCTCTGAGCCATCTCTCCAGCCCCCAAAGCCCTTTTCAGACCTCCAGAGGAACTACATGCTTCTGGTGCACAGACACCCAGGCAAAAACAAACATACATAATACACACATGCATACAGGCAAAACAAGGCCTCTGGCTGTCTAGGGAAGAGTGGTGCCTGGAGGCCTGAGCCTGATCACAGGCAGTTCAAAGTAGACTGGACCATTTAACAACCCTTTTTCAAGGTAAGGCAGCGACAAGAGAATTTTTCTGAGCTGGGGAATGAATATATTACCAACTGAAAAAAATCAGGCAACACAGAGACTATCATCATAGAATTTTAAGGAATTTTAAAATGAAATTCAGTGTTTCTAGAGAACTGGGGAGTTGCACCAGAAATCAGACAGCAGACCCTCAGAAGTCTCTTTGAGCAGAACCAATTGCTTTAAAGACATTTAAAGAGCATAGGGAGGGGCTGGGGAAATGGCTCAGTGGCTAAGAGCACTTGCTCTACAGACGACCTGGCTTGAGTTCCCAGCCCCACACAGCAGTTCAGGACCATTGCAGCTCCGGTGAGAAGAGACCCAACACCCTCTCTGGCCGCTCTGGTATAAGGCGTGCACGTGGCGCACATACGGACATCCAGGAAGAACACACGTTTCCATTTCAAAAGCTATAGGTCCACATACCCATAACATTTTAAGTTATTTTTAAAAATTATTTTCATAAATTATTTTTTAAATGATCCTAATTTTAAAAAGTATTGAGTAAATGGTTAAAAATTACAGGTCTGAGCACACTCACCTGTGAGTGTGCACACTAAGACTGGATCCGAGTTGGTGTTTTTCTCTTTGATCTTTAAAAACAATTGTTCCATTTTGGAGTAGGGGAAGGTACATGCACACCTCGGCACGCATGTAAAAGGACAACTTGCGGGGGTAGGTTCTCTCCTCCTCCATGTGGGGCCCAGGAACCTAACCCAGGTCCCGAGGGGTGGTAGGAAGCGCTTTTACTGACTGAGCATTTCCAGTCTCTGCATTTTTTTTTTTTTTTTTAAGATTTATTGTGTATACAGTGTTCTGCCTGCATGTACACCTACCTGCCAGAAGAGGGCACCAGATCTCACTATAGATGGTTGTGAGCCACCATGTGGCTGCTGGGAATTGAACTTAGGACCTCTGGAAGAACACCCAGTGCTCTTAGCCTGAGCCATCTCTGTTGGGACCAATTAATGAAGAGGTTTCTATGAAAGATCTTCTATGAAAGAGGTTTGTGAGGTGGCTATGAAGAGAGGGAGAGAAGGGAGAGCAGGATATAATAGGGACAGAGGGGAGGGGCGCCCAGATAGAGAAAGGGAGAAGGCCAAGAGAGAAAAAGACCAAGAGCAAGAGAGAGACCATGTCTCAGGTTGTCCCATTAAGGGGCAAGGTAACCACGCCTTACCACACCTGGCTGGCAGTACACATGACATCATAAGTTGCTAGGCAACCCAGAAGCAGCTTTTGTTCCAAAAGCCTAAGATCTCTGCAGCCCCCACTCCCATCCCCTGCCACCTCTTCTTGAGAGAGAGTCTCCCAGAACCTGGAGTTCACCCTTTGCACCAGGCCGACTGGGTAGCAAGCCCCTGGGATCTGTTTGTGTCCACCTCCACCCCCACAACATTGGCATTGTAGACACACCGCTGTACCTGGCTGTTACTACCCAGCTGGGGCGCTGAGCTCAGCGCCTCTTCCTTCAAGCAGCCAGCACTTTACGCACTGCTGAGCCGTCTACCCAGCTCCAGCTTGACTAATAATTTCTATCCAGTGAAATTCCACAGGAAAAGCCATTCTCATTTACCATCCAGAAACTTTGTGTTAAAGACACTTTGGGACAAATCTGGACCTCCTAACACAGGGACGATTGAACTGTGGTCCTCTTTCTCTAGGCATAGACTTGCTTCCGTTCTTTCAGTTGCCCATGCTCAACAGTCTGAAAATATTAAATAGAAAATTTTGGAAATAGCCTGAGGATATAGCTTAGTGGTGAAGTGCTTGCCTCGCACAGCAAAATCTTGGGTTTGATCCATTTCACCACAAACACACACACACCCCTATTCATAAGTTTTAAATGTTTTATACTGGAGGTTGGAGCGCTGGCTTGGCAGTAAAGAGCACTCGCTGCTCTTGCAGACAACCTAGATTTGATTCCCAACCCTCACATAGTGGCTCTTAACGATCTCTAAAGCCAGTTTCAGAGGATCCTATCCAATGCTCTTTTCTGGCCTTCTTGGGCACTGCATGCATTCAGTGCACAGACATGCATGTAGGCAAAAACAGTCATACAGAAAATAAATAAATTGTTAACATGCTGGATATAATGGCACACATCTTTAATCCCAGCACTCAGGAGACAGAGGCAGGTAGATCTCTCTGAGTTCAAGAGTTTCCTGGGCTATGTAGAAGGCTTGTCTCAAAACAAAACAAAACAAAACAAAACAAATATAGCCTGATGTGGTGGTGCACGCCAGTGATCCCAGCACTTGGAGAGGCAGAGACAGGCAGATCTACAAATTGAGTTCTAGGACAGCCAGGGCTACCCAGAGAAAGCCTATCTCAGAAAACCAAAATGAGCAAATAAGTGAGTAAATAAAAAGCTATATTGGTTATTTTCTCATTGCTGTTACAGTTAAGTGTCTGACAAAGACAAGGTAAGGGACAGCTTATTTGTGCTCACTGGTGTAAGGGCAGATAGTCCATCACAGTGGAATCATGGTAGCAGGAGGTGAGGAAGGTGGTTGCCTTGTGTGTGTCAAGGAGCAGAGGTGAATGCTCTCTTGCTCTTTTGTCACCTTTTAGTCTCCCGATAAGATAACCCCGGTTGAGGGCACTGTGCTGCCTGCCTTCAGGGTGGGTCTCCCTCCTCAGTTAAAGCTCTCTGGAAGCAGCTTCCTAGACTTGCCCAGAGATGTGTCTCCTAGATGATTCCAAAGGCAGTCAGGCTGACCCTGACCCCAGCCACATTCTGAGCAGGGTGGTGAGCTCTTCCTCCGTCCCACCCAGGGCATGAATCATCCCTTTGTCCATCGTGTGCCCACTCCATACACTACCTTCTCATTGGTCTCTAGTGGCCTTCTGGGACAAACTGTCACAGTGTATCAGTGTCGGTGAACACAGCTGCTTTACATGTTGGTGAGTGCAAAGCCAAAACAAAAGAGCACGGCAGAAAGTGCCCTCATCAGACAGGAAATGTGAGGACTTATTTGGGGATCCTACACATATTTATATGGGAGGGCACTTATGGGTCAGGCACATACTTTCTTGAAGGTATTCAATTTAAAGTCCTAATCCAGGAGAGACAGGCTGCAACCTCGGGTCTGTATTTCCGGGAGAGCTCAGAAGGAAGGAAGGTAGACAAAACCATTTCTGCTAACTTTTCCCCCTGGGTTGTAGCTGAAACAGAAAGGATGCTTTGAAGGCACCTGCAGGTGCTTGCCTAGCTTTGTTGCTAACAGCAGGGCCTCTGGTGGGCAGCCTCCATTGCATGACTAACAAACCCAGAACCTTACTTGTCTAAGTGGAGTTTGGTTTGGTTTGGTTTGGTAGAAGTGTTTGAGACAGAACTCACCTCACTCTGTAGCCTAATTCACTGGTGAGTACAAGAATTCTCCTGCCTCGGCTTCCTGATTGCTGAGGTTATAGCCAAGAGCCACCATGACCAGACTGTCTTTAAAAAAGCTTTAAAACTATTTTAGTTGGTTTGGCATATGCTGGGGGGTGACAAGTGCTGGGTGGCCATATTCTGGGTGGGCCGTGCTGGGTGGGAGGCTATGCCTGTGACTACAGCTGCCCCGAGCTCAGAGGCTGCTGCACATCAGACACAAACCCCTCCCCCAGCTGTAGTTGTAGGTGGTTGTAAGGGTTTATTTTTATTTTTTATATTAATCATAGGTTATTTCCTTTGTATTCCAGCCGTAGTCCGCTCCCCAACTCCCTCCCAATCCCACCCTCCCTCCCTCATCTCCTCCCTGCCTCTTTCCAAGTCTACTGCTAGGGGAGGTCCTCCTCCCCTTCCATCTGACCCTAGCTTATCAGGTGTCTTCAGGACTGGCTGCCATGTCCTCCTCTGTGTCCTAGCAAGGCTATTCCTCCCTCAGGAGGGGAGATAAAGGAGGCAGTCGTTGAGTTCATGTCAGAAATAGTTGTTCTTCTTACTAGGCAACCCAGTTGGTTACTGAGCTCCATGGGCTACATCCGAGCAGGGGTTCTAGTTTATAGCCATACATGGTCCTTGGTTGGAGACACAGTCTCATAGAGGGCCCCTGTGCCCTGATATATTTTGTCCTTGTGGAGCTCCTGTCCTCTCTAGGTCATACTAACTCCCCCTTCTTTCATATGGTTCCCTGAACTCTGCTGAAGGTTTGGTTATGAGTCTCCGCATCTGCTTTGATAAACTGCTAGGTAGAGTCTTTCAGAGGCCCTCTGTGGTAGGCTTCTGTGCTGTTACTTGTTTTCTCCTACCTCCCCTGTCCATCCCATTTGTCTTGCTAAGTGAGGATTGATCATCTGACTCCAGTCCTCTTTCCTGTTTATCCTCTTGGTTGGAAGCATTCCGGGCAGATGAACTCTTAGTCTCTGAAACAGCAGTGTGCACTCTTCATCCATGAGTACCGTTTAAAACAAAACGTTTTTTTTAATTATATTTTTGCCGTGGCATACAAGTGGAAGTCAGAGTAC